AATGTTATATTTATACATTTAGAAATGTTATATTTACTACATTAGAATGTTATATTTACTACATTAGAATGTTATATTTACTACATTAGGATGTTATATTTACTACATTAGGATGTTATATTTACTACATTAGAATGTTATATTTACTACATTAGAATGTTATATTTACTACATTAGAATGTTATATTTACTACATTAGAATGTTATATTTACTCCATTAGGATGTTATAATTACTACATTAGAATGTTATATTTACTACATTAGAATGTTATATTTACCACATTAGGATGTTATATTTACTACATTAGAATGTTATATTTACTACATTAGAATGTTATATTTACTACATTAGAATGTTATATTTACTACATTAGAATGTTATATTTACTACATTAGAATGTTATATTTACTACATTAGAATGTTATATTTACCACATTAGGATGTTATATTTACTACATTAGAATGTTATATTTACTACATTAGGATGTTATATTTACTACATTAGGATGTTAGGTATATATTTACTTGGCATATAAATATGTTTACCTCATTAGCATGTTACTGTAGAGGGGAGCTTATTTTAGCAGATTTAGTTGTTGTGATATTCACTATTTATTATTCAATTTTAAAGTTAACTACAGTGGAATACGTAGAAATAAAACTACTAATTAAGCCCTATCCAGATTTGAAAAAAATTTGAATGTTACAACAAGTGAAGATACGTTTCATTATGGTGAATGGTAAATTTTATTTTATTGATAGATGTGTTACAGAACATCTTTTCTGGATATTCAAAAGGTTGTGAAAGACTATATTTTGTGGAAGGAGACAAATTCTGACATGGCAGTTAAGAGTCTGATTTTGATAAGACAATTCACCAACTCACCTTTGAATCCCTCCTCATCTACAATGATTGAATAATCATCACATGTCTCCGTAAAACTAAAAAATTTACAACTGAAAAAAAAATACACAACAAAATCAGTTATTCATAAATTCATAAACAATTTCTTACTAAAAAGCGGATTTGGGGTTGTGTCATCACTCTGTTACCATGATATACACTATAGTGTTGGTTTTCTAAGCATAGGAATGATGTGTCAAATTACAAAGATTTAGAAAGACTGAAATGAGGAGACATAACAGGAAAAAAATTAAGAATTGTCACTGCATAAAAGTGTGATTAAAATGTATTGTCGTAAGACCCCAGAGATTTTTTCACTGGTACAAAATTTCGCGATTTTCATTTGAAAATTTTTCTCTCATGAAATTAAATCTGTTTACAGTAATCACAGTTTACCGTGCAATCAATCAAATGCATTGAGATTCTATTTAATCCTGAACCTCCCAAATGTGCTTCAATTGTCATGTCAGAAAAAAAAATATGTGTTACCCTTTTTTAGCCAACTGTGTTTCAGTGCTCTTTTCTATGCTAGGGTATAAGCCCCAGATGTTTTTCACTGTGTCTGAAAAATGTGAAACTTGATCTGGCCTGTATCACATATCAGTCGGCCTTGAGTACTACTGCTAGTGCGTGTGAAGAGCTATAAATAGGCAGTTAAATCTACAGTGGCATACTTCACATCGTCTTCAAAAGTGGGGAAAATCGGCAGAATTTTGCAGT